ATGATCAGAGGGCTTGAGACCCTCCCCTATGAAGACAGACTCCCCCCTCTCTTTGGGGCTGTTCAGTCTGGAGAAGAGAAGACTCCGAGGAGACCTTATTGTGGCCTTCCAGTATCTTAAGGGGGCCTACAGGAAATCTGGTGAGGGACTTTTTAGGTTGTCAGGTAGTGATAGGACTAGAGGGAATGGAGCAAAGCTAGAAACAGGTAGATTCCGATTAGACATTAGGAAGAAGTTCTTCACCACGAGGGTGGTGAGACACTGGCACAGGTTGCCCAGAGAGGTGGTGGAAGCCCCATCCCTGGAAGTTTTTAAGGCCAGGCTGGATGCAGCTCTGAGCAACCTGATCTAGTGGGTGATGTCCTTGCCCATGGCGGGGGGGGTGGAACTAGATGATCTTTCAGGTCCCTTCCAACCCAGACAATTCTATGATTCTATGATTCTACTACGAAGTTTAATACCAAGGTTACAGCAGAGAAACAGCAGCAATAGGGTGGAAAATAAAGGAGAACTGGGTAACCTACATGAGGAATTCAATCAAGGCAAACAGGAAAAAAGCTGTATTGTCAAAACCATCCTGCCTAACAGGACTGAGGTGGCTTTTCATCATCTTCAGGTCTAATAATGTATGTTTCTACCTCTGTGCCCTAAGACGGCAGCCATTCAAGCCTGTGGGTGTGGCATGCATCTCCCTGAAATGAATGGAAGTGGTAGACATTTTTACAATTTATTTTTAATTAAATGGTGACACCAGTGCTGCCAGCAATTATGGGAAGGGGGATACCACAGCGCTTAAATAGAGGAAAATTAGTGATATGTCATTCGCTCCCTGTGTTACTACAAGGAAAATAAAAATATTTCAACATTGTGAGAAACATGGGGAAAAAATACATATCAGAAAGACACTGACAAAATCCCCCATCTTTTAAAATTTTAAGACAGAGTGAAAAAGCAAACAACTTTACCACTTATAAGTTTTCTTCTGTCTGAGAAAATGCCAATGTTCTGGGCCAAGGTCTGTGCCAGAGTAACTGCCATTAAGTCTGGCTTTCCAAACTGAAAGAAACAAGTAAGGCAGGACAAGTAATCAACTACATATGGGTATCTCAGATACAAGCAAAGCTTTTCTCATTTCAAGGCAATAAAAGGCAAAATCAGATGCACAGCGTTAAGAGTTCTTACTTCAGAGCAGCTAAATAATGGACGAGTGATGAAAACTAAATGCTGGTTTACACAAGTAAAGTAAGAGAAAGTCTTTCTTGTCATTGTGGCTGCAAGTATGAATGACAGGACATTGCAGAATCTACTGAAAAGTGTATTTGAATCCATATCTGACTTTATTCTCTCATCACTCTTCATTGAGACATCCCTTCCATAGAGTTGCACTAAAACTCTGCATCAGAAGAGAAGCAGCAAGATATTTCAAGCAACATATCTGTGCTGATAAATTCTATGCAGATAAATTCCCACCACTTTGTGCTCATACCAGTCTCCCCACCTACCTCATTGACACCTCCGCCTTTAAGCAAGGAGCAGATTCCACCAGTGTGGGCTACACCACTTCGACTGCTCTGAAATCGACTCCCCCTTTGACAAAAAGGAAAAGAAAAGAAAGTTTACCATGCTCAGTCCATGCGTTTTGCATCTATCCAACCCTGTATTTGCCCTTCTGACTTCCAAATGAGAGACTGGTATTTGCAAATGCTGGTTGTCACCACTATGCTGTAAGCTATGAAAAAAAAACAAAATGGAAAAAACTGATAACCACTCATAAACCTCAGATGACAAATTATCTCTGGAAAAGTTATACCATCTTCCCTCCTCCTTCTCAGACTGCCTCATATATGAAAGCATAACAACAAGGGGACTATTTTGCCAAACCATCTGAATCTCAGCAGCCTTTTGTTTGCTGATATACTACTGCAGCAATTCTGCTGGCACATGCCACAGATGGAGTGCAGGAGAGGCCACCGCGCTGCCACTGCATGGGGGACTAGTAAAAAGCCATGTGACTGGCTGGGCACCGCTGCTGTGGTAGAACACAAAGGGAGATGCATTAGCAGCTCCCTGACGCAGAAAGAGGTGAAAACATCCTGGAACTGCATCTTATCCAACAGACAGATGTGCTCTGAGCCTAAATATAACCATCTCTTTGGTGCTGACCATGTCAGCAGAATGACTGCCAGTTACCGGAAACAAGATGTACTCTGCTCCACTTCAGAGCACTCAGCCATCTGAGCTGAGACAAACTGGGTTTTTTGCAAAGGAAAACAAAAGACATTAAGAAAAAATACGATGGGCTAACTGTGCTGAAGGTGTAAGTTCACTTGTAACCACTGTACCACCACACCAGCCAACTTCATCTCCCAACCATTTCAGAAACTGTTATTTCTAAAAAATCTATGAATGCAAAACCTCAAACACCAGTTGCAGCAGTGTTACGGACAGCACCGGAATTAGCATTACAATGGTATCCAGAGTCCTGGTCACAGGGCCCTAGGCAACCCACAAACAATCATAAGAACAGGACTTCCCTCAAAGACCTTAAAATTTCACCAGACAAGATACATGTAGGGTGTTAGAAAACCTTATTCCCATTTTACAGATGAAGAATGAGACACAAAGAGACCAAAATCTGCAAGCACGACTTGCAGATCTCACTAGATCTCTTCATGGCAAGTAATCTCTTCATGACAGTAATCAAGCACGTGCAAAAATTCGGACAAGGTGGATACTGGGGTTGGGTATCCTGGCACCCTACCGGACTCAAAAGAAAGTGAAGTGTTCAGGTTGTTTATTCATATAGGTTCCTACAACACAGTCAGCAGAGGGGAATAAGGACTCCAATAGAGCAACTGATCTGGCTTTTTTCATGTGGGTCACAAATCTCAGCCACCAACCTCTCCTCTGGTTTTGTAGACATATTTTATTGTATCAATCTTATTTCCAGAACAGTTAAGGTATTTAGAGAAAATAACATTCCTCTCAGCTTATTCTTTTTCAAGCACATTGTACCTCTGGAGAACAAACTCTTTTGCAGATCTGAAACACTTCAGTAATCCTGCAGCATGCAGGTCAGTCAACAAAGTAAAGCAGGCCATAGTGCTTTTTAAGCAGGAAACCTCACTGACTTCAAAACCAATGTTCTGCTTTTATATGATACAACAGAGCTGTCAGTGCTCTGTTGTCAAATAAGCCAGCCTCTGGGGTGGAACCATGCATCACCTTCCAGGTAGCTATGCTTGCAGAGTAAGTAACTGCACAGAATAACCAAGGATTACAGCGCATGCAGCTTGGGCTTAGTATGCTAAAACTAAAATGAGAGTGAAACCTCTAGTTGCACTGGCAGGCAGTTTGTGCATTAACTGTTTCCCACCTCCCCATCGAAAACATTATCTTCTGAATTATTGTGGATTACACAGACAACAGAAAGGAGATGCATCAGCCATTTGTGATAAGCAACCCCAAGAAAGAAAAAAGCCCAGTAATAAAACATCACACGAGGTTACGTACGAAAAAAGGTGAACTGCGTCACTTTTCTCTCTGATAAAATCCCTCCTATATTTCATAAACTCACGTAGGGTCACCAAGGGGTTTTCAGATATGGTGAACTTGTTATCAGTAGCCCAGGTTTCCATGGCAACCAATACTATCCTGGTGTTAAGTTGTTCTTTATATATCTAGTACATTAACAAAATGAACAAATATATTATGTCAAATAGAATAAAGGTTTTACCCCTTTTTTGTAATAGCCTGCATTTTTATATAACTATTTAGCTTGTTCTAGCACACTTTACGTTCTCCCAGGTGATTCTATCTCCCTTAAAACCAACAAACAAACATGAAACCAAAGTAAATTCTTAATTTTAGGCCTAATTCTTCAATCGGCTCTGTCAGCCTGCAAGACAGTCCCTTCCAGAGGTGCATAGAAGGGAGAGGGAATTTTTGAAAAATTACTACAGAACCATTCCAAATAGTTCAAGGATCTGGAATTAATGTGCCTTCTATAAAATCCAGCTCATCCTAGTGACACACGAGGGCCCTCTTACACCAAATAATGACCTATAAAATTAGAATTTTCCCTGCTATACACCTCTACAGGAGAATTTAACCTCATGCTGGCTGAATCACAAAGAAAGGGCCATTCTGCCAATGCTGTTGGTTAATACTCCAAAACATACTTTTAAGAGTGGGAACTGCATTCTTGCTTTTCTGGTAATACTCTTCTGAGGTGAGATGCAAAAGCCAGCAGCTCATCCGATTTAGCATCACAAACATAATCCACAAAATCCATCTGTATGTTTCTATTTACTCAAATGTACTCAAATGCACTTCTTCTTGAGAAATTTTAGTGCATTCTAAATTCAGATGGCCTCTTGGATTTCAGGTTGTCAACACAGGGATTCTATGTTAACAATTGTTATATCTGAGGTGCTCATTAAAACTCAGTCTCAAGGGATTGACCCAGCAGAATACTTAAATGTTTGAAGCCACAGGAAAATCTCTAACATCTTATGTTAAACAAAGGATTTATAGGTGGCTGACTGCTGTTCTAGATGAAACTTTGTGATCTTCACATACATTATTATTAGGTATACCATGAACTGACAATTCCTGCATCTATCAGCAGGAGAATCATATGATTCATCCCACACGTAAAAGAACATTTAGTTGAGCGATACTTACTAAATCTGCCATGTTCACAACCGATTTAGCATAGCTGTTTGTATGGCCGACTGACAAGCGGTGCTTTTTACACTGTGAAACAAACACAGACAAGTTACACATTCAGACTTCAGAAAAATAAACTCCTTTTCCAAAAAAACCCCCACAAAGTAAAAAGTAACTGCATCAACAGTGAAAAACTTGCAGCAAGTGTGGTCTCCTGTGCTGAATACAATGTCAATAAGCAACAGTAGAAAATTACTCAGAAATGCACATTACTGATGTGCTTTACAACAGCTGTTGTGAGAATCTATTAATTCCTGTCTGGAAAGCACTTTAGGTTCTTTACTAAAAAAATGCTATAGGAACAGGAACATATGTTTACTCTATTCATTATCTCTATTATTGGCAATTTTAAAGTTAATTCCAAATGCCAATATAGAAATTAGCAATTTGTATAGTTGAGATTCCTTTAGAGATGTTATCCCAAGAGTGCCCTTGTGCTTTAATCTATCAGACTTCCTTTTTTTTTTTTTTAATCTTCTCTCTTAAGATGTCTTCTGGATTTCTACATGTACAATATCACAGTCTCATAATGCCACAGTAACTGGTTCACATCACTTTAGCAATCAGACTGCAATGACACCTTTCTGAAATCTGTAATGCAGTGCTATAAAGATGACACTGAAGACAGCTGTCCAGTTACTCCTACTTGCAGAAAAAAACACACTTATAAATGAACACCATGGGTATGGAAGTCACAAGTATCTTAGAAGAACGTAGGACAAAAGGGCCAAGCTTTTCAGAAATGTTTAACCATCTCGTGCCCCATCATGCTTTTAACCATCTTGCACGGCATGGCATGAGGGGAAATTGGCCCAGACAGATAAGGTCCCAAGGGGAAAGTTGTGGCTTCAGGTCTTCAGGATCAAACATATCAACACTAATTTAGGGAATTCTGCATCCAGTATTATCTGGTTTAATTCCAAGTACTTATAGCTATGCTCACCAAACTGTGCTGAAGGATAAGTACTCTGTCCAAAGACAGTGGTACATTCTGTGTACACTGATGTCTGTTTTTGTCAATTTGGGTATTGCTTGGGAGATGCTGCATGTTACAGAAAGGGTAGATAAAATGTATAGATGTATTTTTATTTTAAAGTCATAAAGGACCATAAAATCAACTGATGTCACCAGTCAAAGGGGCACCACTGGTCTCTGAACTTTATCCAGTTACTTCAAGATTGAACCTTATTGTATTTGACAGCACCACATCTTCCAGAAATACACTGTCTGAATTTGAAGACTGCAAGTGATGGAGAAGTCACCATTTCCTTTTATATTCTCTTCATTAATTATTAGTCATCTTCACTGACATAAATCTAAGCCGTTTCCCACCTGAATGAGTCTGTTTGTCCTTCAACACACTAATTTTTACTATGTCTCTTTCTACTACATTAAAGACCCTATTTATGTTCTCCCAGGGAAAGTACACAAGCTTAACCAAATCATTTTCTCTATATCGATTTGGATATTTCAAAAAAAATCTAGTCACTATTAATCTCCCCATTGTCAACAGCTGCTGGACAATTGCAATAACTGCATTATTGATCACTGAGTGGCTATACTCAAAAGAAGTGCTCAAGAAAGCCAGGAAGAAAATCATCAGCTTAAGTCACACTGACATTAGTTACTTTATGACACGAAGCTTTAGTTTATGACCCTTTTTCCTGATACTCAGGCCTGGGTGTACTCTTGGTGAAATTACCTTGTCAAAAGTACAAAGCAACTTTATCAATGGTTACTGAGACTGTAATCTCTTCTCTTAAGGACATACTAAATTTATTCTGGTCATGTATTCTTCTTTACTGTTATATTTCATGGACCAGTTAAGACAATTTGATGTTAACAGTAAGATGTCGAAGCATGTCGGTCTTACCATTAGATGATCATTTACAATCATCAGCTCAATGTATTTTGTTTCCTCTTCAACTTTACGTGGAATCTGACGAATCTACAGAGAGAGAGTAACTGTAAGAGAACCTAAGAGAGTACAGAAATAACTAGAAATGGCTTCAGACACCAAACTTCTCACACACACATTTTTTTCTATTGTCTTATTTTTGGTCTCATATATTGATGAAGCCTCTGGTGCTTAGTTGCAGCATTTAAAAAATACTTATTTCACCTATGCCAGGACATTTATATGACCTTAAACAATGAAATAAAGTCTTACAACCCATCTAATCCTAAATTTAGGGGCATTTTTTAAGAAAAATAATCCCTAGTGGGGCCAAAAATAGCTTGTGTCAGCTATAAACCTCTTTTTTTTCTCAAAGAGAAAGGAATCCCTCCTGCATTCTTTAGGAAAACCTCTTTGAGAGTTCTATTACTTATTCGCACACTGCTCGATTCACATGGTGAATGCAGTACTCACCTCTGTGTTACACTTACTTTGCATGTAGAAACAGTTATGACTGTGCTTCTTCATGGTGTTTTCCTGGGTTTTCCAGGAGAGTTATTATATCATTATGATTTTAAAATGCACTGTAATGGATAGTTTACAGAAAGGCAGCAAATCACCTGATACAAAGTAAGACACTCAAGAGTGACTCTTGGAATTTCTCCAATGTCTTTCTCATTTCTCTTTAGCTTCTGAGAGGCTTGCATTAGTTAAAGTAATCTTCTCCTCCCATTGCTCTCAGTATTTCATTTCTTCCTGCACTGTTCACCCCCCCTGTTTTGGCCTGTATCATCATTTGAGCTACATTCCTAAAATGTAAAGAACTGCTGCTGTCTTTCCAGGATACGGGCAAACATCTGCACTTAGTGGTTCCCCTACTTTAATAAATGGGGAAACTCAGTCCAGGGAGCTCTCAGTTTAGAATATTTATTCAAATCAAAGTCAAGTGAAATAAAGTAGCTACCTGTCACCATTGCAACATAAAAAACATTCGTAAACATTTCATTAATTGAGAATTTCTGATAAAACTCTATACTCAAAATGAGAGAAAATATTTTAGCTATTTTTTCATTGGCAGTTGAGCAGTGTTTAACAATGTTGTAACTCCTCAAGTAGGCAATGTCCAAGAGAACGCAACAACGTTTTGTCAACATTAGATACCTCTTTGTTAAATAGCTGTATTGACGTAGACACCTTATGCCAACCCAGCAGCAGAACTGGACAAATTAATTCAGCACACACAAAACAAACTTGATGGGGTATTGCTTATAAAAAGACATGTTGGCACATACCTGCCTTTTTCTTCTTTTGTGTCTTGGCTTTACAACAAACTTCGGCGATGTCATATTCATTTGCCACAACTCTAAGCAGAAACCACAGCAAATACATTGAATATTTACAAGAATATAGCCTAACAGTTAGTGACTCTGATGCTGCATGACAGTATTACAACATTCTTCTTCACATTAGATGTGGTAATAACTAATTTTTTCAAGTTTCCAGCTACAAAGGAGGCAATGTTACAGGTGCCTCTCAATAAGAGGGTTCTTGTTAAAAACACTGCTAGTGATAATCTGGGCCTGCTGAAACAGATGATCTGTGGGTGTCACACTTCAGAAAGCACAGCAGATGTTCTATGCCAAAACTTCACCAACACTGGGCATGTAATATTATTAGCACAGTGCTTCCATGGAGTGAATCATATTTTCGAGATTCAGCAGACAGTCACAGAGCTCCCACAATAACTACCTAAATTAATAAGAAGAGCACGGAAGGCAGAATTAATGCTTTAAGATGATTATATCCACAAAGTAAAATATGTTAGAGTTGGGAGAAACCTTATGAGATTCTGGCAATGCTCACCATCAATACAATATTTCTCCCCACTAATCCCATGGTGTTTAATTTCTTAAACCTCAGTCATAAGCACCAGGTAGTGTACTCATTTGCCAAATCTCTTTCACCAAATTTATTCCTAGCTCCTGGTGGAAAGGGACTCATTATAAGCAGAAGACAATAGTTTTAAATCCTTTCAAATGTCCAAGGAGCTTTTTCCCATCTTGAATTTTAGATTTGTAGTCCCTGCCTCATTATATGACAGATATCTCTTTCCC